GCTTGCTCTTCAGGGCGCTCCACACCCTTCAGAAGTAGCCGCCATGCCTCTGGCTTGTATGGCCCCTGCTAATATCTCCATTCTCTTGTCTCGCTCCCTTTTCTCCCTCAATTCCAGACATCCGCATCTCCAACACTTCATATCCTCTCAGCCCAGGTCTCTTCCAGGCTATTTTCTCCCTCCCTGAGGCCTTCCCCTTTAGACAGCACAGGCGGGGGACCAGGGCTTTCAGATGTCACCTCCTTTGAAGAAACCATTCCTGACCATCAGGGCTGGAGGAGGTACCTGCTGCGTGCCCAACACTTCCTCATGGTCCTCTGCACCAGCCGACCCCACACCATGCTCAGATCCCACCTCCCGTGACCCCAACAGTCAGCGCCTTCAGCCGCCCCAGAGGGGGAGAATCCTGGAAGGTGGGCACCAGCAGGCCCTTACAGACCCAGCGGTCAGCCTCTCGGCTTAAGTGGGAAGGCTGAGCCCTGACCACAGTCACCGCCGCCCTGAGGGCTGAGCAGGGGCGGCCGAGCCATGTGCTTACAGCTGCCTGCCCAGCGGGGCATTACCCTTCCCAGGAAGGAGCCTGCCTCGGGGTCCAACAGAAGTTCTGAGCACGGACATGCCTCTTGACTTCTGCTGTGAACTTAAATGACCTTTGCCCATTTTCCTATGGGAATGCGGGTGTTTTCTTCACTGATTACTAGTAAAATGATAGATAGATACATAGATCTATCTATCATGTACATATGTACATATCATGTACATATATGTGTATATATACATATAAAGGTCCTTTGCTTACCATGTACTGCAAATAATTTTTCTTTGGTATAACTTAATCTTGCTTTTCACACACACGCACCTAATGCCTGCCCTTTCGTTGCTGTTAAGCTCGAAATGACCTCCACTACCGGAGACTTCTTTAACAAGGAAAAAGTCCGAACTTTAGCTGTCCCCGACCCAGTGCCCGCAGGCTCTCCCTGTCGCCAGGCCCGACGCTAAACAACACGTGCGACCACTGGACCTCACAGGTCTCGGGGGCAGATGATGTCCTGTCCCGCTTCAGGGCCGGGAGGCTGCGGCTCGCCCAGCGGCTGGTGCGGACGGACGGTGGAGACCCAGCGCACACCGACCCGAAAAAAACTCACCTCCTCAGCGACTCCGGCACCTGCGCGGGCACGATGGGCCGCTTCACGCCACGCTGCTCCTTTTCCTTCTCCCCGCCCTTCTCCTTCCCGTTTTCTGCGTCCCCCTTCTCCGCCTGGGTCATCGCGGCAGCAGCTCCACGAGCTTCTAGCTCTGGGGCCGCGGGGCACCAGCCAGAACTGAAGGCCCCTGCGCAGGCGCAGTCCCCGGCCGGTTGCCCACAGTCAAGATGGCCGCCGGGGCGTCGCCGGAGAATCCCCGGAAACGGAAGGGCGGAGACGCCCGCTGGAGGACGGGCTTGCTCGTGTGGGCGGATTAAGTAAACTGATGGTGCTGGGATTGGTCCTGGCGGTACCCTGCCAGCAATATCCCCTGCTGTGTTTTGAGTGCTTACCACGGACAGCCATACCGGCACCTCATTTTGTCCTCACACCCGCCTCTCCTAGCAAATGGATTCCCAGACACCAGACATGGGTTCTCATATTTCACAGGCCCTGTTCAGTCAAGCCAGATGTTAGGGTTCTCTGTAGCTGGCCCTCCTCTCTACACACTTCTTAGATGACTGTGCCGCGCTGGGCCGGAGTCGGGGTGATGAAAGAATGAAAGCTGGGTCTCCGTGGGATGCTGCTCCTCTGATGGATAGCGCCAGCGCCCATAAGCCGTGTCTTTATTTTATAGCAGATGCCAGGAGGCAAAAAGGGCGTGATCAAGATGTTCACAACATTCTTGTGGGTTTCAATCCTACTCAACTACATGCACCTGGACTATATCACGCAGGCACATGGGGCCACGTGTTCGGACCACAGGTTCAAGCTTACCACTATAGCTATTGGCTATAATTGTGCTGAAAGGGCTTTGCCCTCCAAGCTGGGACTTGCACATGGCAATGAGAGGACTGTGCCCTCTCCTTAGTCCAAGGCTTGAACCTGTCCAAAACACTGTAGCGTGCCCCACAGATTCCTTTATCCAGTTTCATGGCTTTAAATAGGAAGATAACTCCCAAATATATGTTTGCAGTGTGGACCTTTCCGAGATCCATTGATTATTTGGTATTGTCACTTGGATATGGACAAGGCATTTATGTCCAAAATGGAACTTATCAATTCTCAACACCCCCCAAAACTTACTCCCACTTTTACCATCTCTATAAATGTCACTTTGATATCATCCCCATTTCATGGCAAATAGGGTTGAATAAATACTTATAAATGGATATAAAAATACTTTTATCTCAACACTTAGGTTGCAAAGTCTGTTAAACATTGGAAGTAGAATTATCTGTGTTATTCATTCTTCCAATAAATATTTCAGTGCCTATTACATGCCACTGTTCAAAGTATTGGGGTAAAGACGACAAAATCTCTAACCTCATACAGCTTCCATTTTGGTGAAAGAATGTGAGTTACCAGCATTCAAGGTGAGGTTAAAGACAAAACAACTCTTTAGAATTCAAATTTGTCTAGATAGCATTGAAGTCTCTATATTTAAGGACCACTTAGTCTTCATTTTGTATCTTCACTTTGTAGCTTAGTTATGTTGGTTATGGCTTTATAAATACTCCGATAATTATATACAGCAGTGAATCAAACACCTTGTATTAAAGACTTACAGGACAATTGTTTCTATATAAAAATTCAAAAACACAGAGGTATGCATACTACTGAAATAAATACAATGTGATTTATTTATATATGAGAACAAATAACAATGAACATTTTCAGAAGTTGAAAAAGGACACCAATGGTACTAAACACATAGCCTTTTAATTTTCTTCAAATTCGGAGTTTCAATTATATAAAGATGAGTAGTCAATTATGTAACCTAGAAATATTTACTTATTAAACTATATTAATACTTTCAATAAACTATACAAAAAGATAATGAGACAAACATGTGCATTTATAGAATTGCATGTCAGTCATGCCAGATCCCTGTGAGGGAATTCCCAACACGACCTCATTCGTCTGTGAGGACACAGAGTAATTCTTGTTTAGACATACACATTCATTTACTTGTCCAGCCTGGTCAGCCCTCCACTGCTTGATGGTTTCCTTCCACTATGAGTGTGCATGTCCAGTTGTCTGCTTCTTAGAGCAGACATTTACCTAAAAGAAAGCGTTATAATAATTAGTTGCTAGTTATTCATTCAGATCTGTCTGAAAAATCCAACTATCATTACATGTTATAAACCTGTTTCAGAAGATATTTTGATAATAAAAGCAAAGGATTTTTCAAGGATTAGGATAGAAATATTTTCCAAATAATGTGTTAGGCAGCTTCTATTTTCTTAAAGACCTTCCTAAGGAGGCATTTACAAAATAAAATCCCTGTAGAATAATTTCAAATTTTAAGTTACCTTCCTCATCCACCAGACATTGGAGGAGGACTGGGGCCATGCAGATGATTAATTCGACCCATTCTTCTGGGAGGGTTTCCTGGGGGCCTAATAAAAGAAAAAGTTAATTTCTACTGTTTAGTAGACATCTTAAATGGGTTCCTTTTAAACACTCAAATAGACCCTTTTATTTAAAATACCATTTAGGTCAGAAATTCAAACTTTGGCCGGGGCCAGACATATAAAGCACATGAGGAAAGTGAGTCAGGCAAGGACTATGGTGAACTGAGCAGCACTTCCTGTAAATGCCCAAATAAAACCCAGCTCCAGTTGATTTTTGCCACATGGAAACGCGAACCTAACCCCTGCTGCTTGATCTTCTGAGTTTTTCATTAGCAGCTAGAAATCTAGATTCTAAAGTGAAATCTCTAGATTTCAATGTTGGCTCTCAGTTTTTATCCTCTAATTTAGGTATTTCCCACTGGATATATGATGTACATTTTAGCTTTGCCAGGTTGACAATATTATCAAATCAGAGGCAACTTGACTTATTTATAGTAATGCATTAATTTTGTGAAGTAGAATTTAAACCTTTAATTTCCATTAAGCCTGTCTGTCTGTCTGTCTATCTATCTATCTATCTATCTATCTATCTCTCAAATAAGCTAATCTAATCTAATTAAAATATACAGAAGGGTAAAAACACCTATTATCAATTTAAAAAGCTATATCCTCTTCTGAGGCAGCATGGAAACCTGGAGAGTATTATGCTAAGGGAAATAAGCCAGTTAGAGAAAGACAAGTATCACATGATCTTACTTATATGCAGAATCTAATAAACAAAATAAACTGACAAACAAAAATGATCCAGAGCCGAAACTGGTTTGGCTCAGTGGATAGAGCGTCGGCCTGCAGACTGAAGGGTCCCAGGTTCGATTCCGGTCAAGGGCATGTACCTGGGTTGCGGGCACATCCCCAGTGGGAGATGTGCGGGGGGCAGCTGATCAATGTTTCTCTCTCATCGATGTTTCTGGCTCTCTGTCCCTCCCCCTTCCTCTCTGTAAAAAATCAATAAAATATATTTTAAAAAATGATCCAGAAACATGGAAGCATGGAACAGACTGATGAATCTCAGAGGGAAAGGGGAGAAGGTTGGCAGGAAGAGATTAACCGAAGAACTTATATGAGTGCATGCATAATCCACGGACAGACAATAGTGCAGTGAAGGCAAGGCAAGGGTGAAGGGGATCAATTGAGGGAAGGAAAGTGGGACATCTGTAAAACTTTCAACAATAAAGATAAATTTTTTAAAAAATCAATGACTAAAAATTAAATTAAATAAAATGAAGTGGGGGTTAAACTACCATGATCTTGAAAGTTGATTCATTTTCCCCCTAGAGTTAAAGGTCTAAGAGATACATATATAGATATAAAAATAAATACAAATAAAAAGCTGTACCCTCTTCCATCATCATATCTGGAATCAGATGAGTTTCCGTAGCCTCTTCCCTTTTTCACATCTTGCTGAAGCAGAGTTTTGAAACTGAAACAAGGGGCAGAAAACAACAGAAGAGCCACTTTCAGCATTATAAAATGTACTTCATGATTTCGACTATCATCTCTGGGTAGACAGTTAGCTCCAAACCCACATTTTGAAAAGCCATCGTGACACCACCATCTAACACGAGCACTTGTCTCAACAGTGTGCGCTATGTTCTGTGCCAAAGCCGCCCTTCCTATCTTCTTATTTGCTGATAACTCTCCCGGACAGTCATCCCAACTTCTTCCTCTACATCAGCTGTCACGGCTCAGTCTGGTTTTACAGTACTGCACACTCATTGCTCTTGCATTTCCCCCACCGACATTACCTTGGACAGGGAGGGCTAAGAATGGTATGCCAGAGGTGCAGACCTTCTGGGAATCCATTTAAATGAACTTTTAGTTATGAAGGAGGACGAATTTAACTAAGTTAAAAGAGTATTTTAATAAACAATACGGAACAGGTAAAATTTATAAAACTATAAAAAAGTTTTGCTCTGGGTAACTTGAGCTGTCACTTCCATTTTACCCTTTCTAATTTATGCTACATGCAGCCACCAAATTAATCTTTCTAAACCATAGCAATAATCAAATTAAGTATAAAGATCACAAATTGATATTCAAACTTCTTTGCCACCTTTCCTATGTTTCTTCCACCTGGAATAACTACCTCTGATGTCCACCTCCCACAATCATGCCCACCATTCCCCCATATAATATAAAGATATTTACTGATATTAAAGTCAATGAAAGGACTATCTCCCACATCTCTGCATCCCTACCGTTCTCTATCTATGAGGCACTCAAGTATATATTCAAACTTAGGATAAGTAAGACTTGTTAATAATTAATGGATAATTTTCATAAAATACACAGCAGGTCAAAGACCAAAAAGTGCATTTAATTAAAAATTGCTTGAAATTATGGTGAAATTTAAATTTGTCTCCTCTGTATTGATTCTAACCTTTAATTATTAAAAAACAAGAACAATGCCCTAGCCAGTTTTGTTCAGTGGACAGAGCGTCAGCCTGCGGACTGAAAGGTCCCAGGTTCGATTCCCATCAAGGGCACATGCCCAGGTTGTGGGCTTGATCCCCAGTAGGGGGCGTGCAGGAGGCAGCTGATCAATAATTCTCTCGCATCATTGATGTTTCTATCTCTCTTTTCAATCTCCCTTCCCTCTCTGAAATCAATAATATATATTTTTAAAAAAATTTAAAAACAAAAAAAGCCAACACTGTATAATAATGAATAAAATTTGCACATACACACTAAAGCTGGGAATAGTAGGCAGAGAGTGGGTGCTGTCATTAGGTATTAGAATGGGCAGGCCTGGCTCCAGAGCTGCAGGTTTATATGGTTACCATCAAGACTAAGGTATAGTGTCAAGCTTACCAACTCAACTAACATATTCATAGTCATAAGATTTCTGGTGGCATTTCCTTTAGTAAAGCTATTAATTTAGAAAACATTAAAAACTGCTTCAGGAAAGCTGAGCTTGTTTATGATATGCAACATAATGTACCTAATGTACCTAAGTATCAGGGCTATTAAGACTTCTACTATACTTACAACAAAACCACGAACTCAGCTATTCCCCAGAAGAAATCTGTTATCAAAGATAATCTCCATGGGGACTGACTCCTGCTGTCCAACACTTGTCCTACAGACAAGAATAAAGAAACTTTAGTTAGTACTACAAATCCCTGACAAAAGACACATTACATTTAATAAGTTAAGTAACAATCATAGATTCCGTTTTCAACTTGTCCATTGTTCCAAATAGTCAACAAAAAAGAGAGGTCTGTTATACACACCATTCTAAGGAAGGATTCAGAGAAGTAACTCTCTGTGATCTAGGGGCCATTCCTTTACTATGTCAATGCTTTCCGAAAATTTGTAATTTTGGGGGATGATCAAGTATTCTCTCTCTCTCTCTCTCTAATTGTGGTAAAAATATACACACAAAAAAATCTACCATTTGAAGTATACAATTCTATAACATCCTTCCTATATAATAAAAGCATAATATGCAAATAGACCGAATGGTGGAAGACCGGTCCCTATGATACACACTGACCACCAGGGGGAGCACCGCTCAGCCAGAAGCCAGGCTCACAGCTGGTGAGCCCAGTGGTGGTGGCAGGAGCCTCTCCTGCCTCTGCTACAGATGGGCAGTAAGGAGTGAGGGGTCCTGGACTGCAAGAGGGATGTCCGTCTACTGGCTTAGGCCTAATCCCCAGGGGGAGCGGGCCCAAGCTGGCAGGCAGACATCCCCCAAGGAGTTCTGGATTGTGAGAGGGAACAGGCCAAGCTGAGGGACCCCACCCATCTCCACCGCAGTGCACAAATCTTGTGCACCAGGCCTCTAGTTAAGTATATTCACGTTCCTGTATAACCATCACCACCATCCATCTCCAGAATTTTTTCATTGTCCCAACTGAATCTCTGTACCCCTTAAACACTAATCTCCATTTTTCCCTTTCCCCAGTCCCTGTGAACTTTCTGTCTTTGTGAATTTGACTACTCTAGAAACCTCATGAGGGCTCACACAATATTTGTACTTTGGTGACCAGCTATTTCACTAGCATAATGTCTTCAAGGCTCACCCATGTTGCAGCATATGTCAAAATTTCCTGCTTTTTTCAAGGCTGATTAATATTCCATTGTGTGTGTGTACTACATTTAGTTGATCCATTCACCTGTTGATGGACACTTGGATTGCTATTGTGAAAATGCTGCTATGAACATGGGTGCACAAGTATCTGTTTATTCAAGTATTTTGAGGAAACAAATGGGTAAATGTAAACTCACATCACTTCAATTTTTCTAAACGTGTTCAAGGTTCTCCATTTCATTTGCAAAGCCTCTTGCCTGCACAAACAGACTGTTTACACATACTCTTCCAGGTCTTAGATTCAATTTCGATAAAATTTTTAGAAATCAAAGAAATCTGTGTGCTCTAAGTATTGAAGAGAATTTGACTTATTCATTAAAATGACTATTTTTCTGTAAAGAAGCTATTCATTCTAATTACAGGATTCAGCTTTATCTTAAACAAAAGAGGATCTATTTTTCAAACCACTTGAAATGATAAAAGCTATAACCTGAAAAGTTTAGTACTCTAGAGCAGCCGTGGGCAAACTATGGTCCACGGGCGGAATCCGGCCCGTTTGAAATGAATAAAACTAAAAAAAAAAGACCTTACCCTTTTATGTAATGATGTTTACTTTGAATTTATATTAGTTCACACAAACACTCCACCCTTGCTTTTGTTCCAGCCCTCCAGTCCAGTTTAAGAACCCATTGTGGCCCTCAAGTCAAAAAGTTTGCCCACGCCTGCTCTAGAGTTTCAGACTTGCAAATCAAGAGGTCAGAATATTCTGGAAGAGCTGCCTGTCAACTACCTCTCCTCTCCATTTCCCCAAGGGCTTCTTCATGCTTTTTACTTTCCGTCCTTCTTTGACCAGTTTACTGTCAGGTGTGTCTACCACACAGAGCTACTGAGAAAAAAGGGCCACACTTAAAGACAGAGCATGGGTGACAGGTTCTGCCTCTTACTGGCTCTGCACCGTTGGCTGATGTGACATTTTCCTTCTCTGAGAAAAAACATTCCAGGGCTAATCGTATAGAATTGTTTGGGAAGAAGTAACCTGACAGGAAGAGAAATGTTCTAACTCCGAAGTGCTGATAATTCTGTCCTCCTAAGAAAATAGATCTAATTGGAACCCACCAATTCTTCCTGAGTGATTCTAAGGAACTTATTGCAGGCACTTGCATCATTCTAGCGATTTGCACTTTCCCTTGGTTTCTGAAGGCAGAAACCTTCCCTCAGAACATCCTTAGAGGGAAATGAGTTGCTTGAATGCAAGCTGGCATTTCCCAACTATACACGTGACAGAAAAGGCCTTTGTGTTATTTAAGTGGATCAAATATGATTGTGCATGCACACTAACACACCACAAACACAAAGCATCATTCAACAATGCACATACAGAAGCGGCCAGCCTTGATCACAAAGGATAAAACACAAAGTTTGCCAGTGCCCAAACGAGGATGAAGCTTTAATTTTGGCGTGTGTCCATCAACCTACCCGTTTCAAAGAGTTTTAAGTGGGAGAAAGGAGAGATTTTGAAGAGCAAAGAGATACAAAGTGCACGCACTGACTATCTTAATCATCTAGGAAGATAGATGATTCAATACAGCCAGCACCTAGCTCCCGCCATCTACGAGATCCTTGCTAAGACTGCACTAGGCATTTATTTCGCCTGAATCCAACAGGTGGCCCAGTCCGACTGCCTCTCCTCTCTAGGCATTTTCTTTGTGACGTCACGGGATTTAAGTCTCTCGGATTCTCTATCGCGGGACTAAAATGAACTTGCTCTCGAGGGATTGGTGCTTCTTCCTGTGCCTCTTGAAATCGGGCAAAAACCGCCACGTATGGCTAGTTCCCCTCTCCCGGGGAACAGCCCGCCCAGAGCGTCCCTCTGCTTCTCTTGGGTCAGTTACCGAAAGGCAGGCAGTGCTGCTCGGGCACGGCAGGACGCGGACGCCAGCCACCTCGGATCGAATCCGCACTGAGCCATTAGCTACCACTGTCACCCCGGACAGTGGGATCTACCTGCGCCTCAGTCGCCATCCGTACAGTCGGGAAAGTAAAATACTAGCGTCCTAGGGCTGCTAAAAGGGCGGGATGAGATGGTAAGCCAGCGGTTCTCAACTTGTGGGTCGCGACCCTTTTGGCGGTCTAACGACCCTTTCACAGGGGTCGCCTAAGACCATCCTGCATATCAGATATTTACATTACGATTCATAACAGTAGCAACATTACAGCTATGAAGTAGCAACAAAAATAATTTTATGTTTGGGTCACAACATGAGGAACTGTATTTAAAGGGCCAGAAGGTTGAGAACCACTAAGCGAACAACGCTAAGGCAGTGAGGCACAGGCGCTACGCAAATGGCGTTAATGTTGCTATTTCTAGTTAAGGACACATACGCCCGAGACTCAAGACCCCTTCGGCGAGACCCACAATAAAAATAAAAAAAATAAAAATCAGAGGCCCGACGAGGGCGCCCGGCCAGCCGGTAGACCACAGGGACCTCGGCCGTCGCCCACCCGCTCCCGGACGGTCTGCTAACGCGCCGCAGGCCGGTGAATCCGCCTCCCGGTCCGCCCGGCCCTCGGCTCCACGTCCCGAAGAACCGCGGGAGCGCGGGCCGCGGCGAGGGTGGGGGAAACCCCGACCCGACGCCGGCCCAGCGACCCTTGTAGCCCGGCCCCCGCTCACCGTTCGCGATGTAGACCATCTTGATCCCCGTTCCCCTCCTCCGGGCGAGGGAGCGGCCTTCCCACTCCCGTCCCTCCCTCCACGCCCCGCCCCTGACGTCACAGGCACGCGGTGACGGAAGGGGAGGTGGACGAAGCCCATTGGCTGCGGAGGACACGCCCCCGACTGGCATTTTTGCCGCGTCACGCCGGCGACTTCCGGTAGGGGGAGCCCACCGGGAAGGGGACGGATGTGACGTTAGGGGTTGATTCTGTGGGTGAGGATCTCCGTCTCCTTGTGCATCGGGTCTGGCGGGGCCTCTTTGCGTTGCAAAGAGAAGCTGTTTCCGTCGTCCGAGGCCCCGGGGCGGGGAGGCCAGGTTGCGCCCTGCAGGGGGAGAAGCGCGAGCACAGACCTTCCTGCGAGTGTTTGCGGATTGTGTGCGGATGGGCGGGGACCGGGCTGCCGGGAGCTTTGTTGTGAAGCCTTTGGAAGCACACACACAGGCACCCGCTAGGAGTGTTGATTCCGTCCGTGGACGAAAAGGGGCCACGCGCTAGCCCTGACACGCTCCGGGGAGGCCTGCATGGCGGGCCTTGGCCTCGGACCCAAAGTAACCGCCTATGGTCTGAAATGCAAACTTACTCATTTAAAGCAAGTTCTGGGCCTGGGCCGCTATCTTCCCTGACAAAGTTGGGTCCTTACCTTCACTGATTCTGCTGGTGGTCTTTTTGCACCGAGGATAGCATTCCCTTGAAATATCAGAGTAATTCCCTTTTTCAGACCCCTCAGGGCACAACCCCTGAGCCACAGTAGGAGACCGCAGAACCCCTCACTGTTACCTTGTCCCCCCCATACCATCTCCATGTGCTGTAAAGGAGCTTTTCTGTACCCAGCAATGTCAAAGAAATAGGTGTCTCTCCATTTTACTTTTTATCCAAGCCCTGCCTTTGCGTTCTGTTCTCCATACCCACCAGTGGGTTTCATGTACCGCCCCTTGTGGCTTTTCTTTGATTCTAATGTGTAAACGAAGCACTAAAGCTGCCGTTCTCCAGAGCATTTTCTCCATCTGCTGAGATTTTTGTATCCCGGCAATTGTCATCAGTTTGACTCAAATAAACTGGTAAAATTTTTCTACAGGTTTGGATGATTCTTATGTTGACACATTTTAAACCAGTGTTTCTGTTCTTGGGTCACCAGAAGTAGCTGGTGTTTTTTATCCGCGCTTATTGACACAGGCCAGTAAGCCAGGACAAGAGGAATAGGGAAACTGAGACAGCTGAACAAACTAGCAGAGCAATTCACAGCAAATACAGAAGGTCACGTCCCTAGAAATAACATCTAGGCTCAGGCCCGGAAAAGCAGCAAAATCAGGTGGGCAACACCAGGACCAGCTGTGATGACAGATGACCCCCTGCCCTGACACTGACCAGTCAGTGAAGACCAAGGCCCTGGAGGAGCACACCTAGAAAACGGATGAAAATTCTGCTAAAACCCTCTCCTGAGACCTCCCCTAACTTTCCCACCTTCCAGAAGGAAATAAAGCCTCAAGACAAAGGACCCAGTGTGTGCTCTCCCTCGTCTTTTCCCTCCTACTTCATCCCCCACAGGCATGCATCGCCTAACCCCCACGGGAACCCACGAGGCTTGCAGCCTGGGGAATAAAGGTCAGCGGCAGCTCTGCAGGCTAGACCCCTAAACCTGACCCCAAGGCTCTCTTCTCTGACTTCCCAGAGAGCTAGGGCAGCCCAGCCTAGGCTCTCCTGTTGCTTCTTCTATGTTAAGCCCTTTCTTGTTTTATGTCCCCAGCTTTGATAAATGTTTCCTCATAGTGATCTGGACTCATGTTGTGAAACTTTTCTTGGACGAAGTCAAGAACCCATACACTACCGGCCGGCCCTAGGCAAACCCAACAAGGACCAGGTCTCCTTTCCGGTAACATTGTGAGGCAACTGAAAAATACTCTAGACCTCTGCTTATTCCTTATTGATAGCTCCTGTATGCCAGCATTGCAGAGGTGACAGGAATAAGAAACTATGTCTCAGTCATTAATTCAGTACGGACCACATGCTATGTGCTACTGTGTGTGTACACCACTGCACCATCCACTGGATTACTTTCTGTTCCCTGGGTGTGGTGAGCTCGTTGCTATCTCAAGGCCTTTGTACTTTGTATTTTTTTGTATGTGTGGAGTCCTCTTAATGGCTGCTTGCATTCTTTTTTTTCCTCCCAGTTCTCATCATGTCTCATCTCAGAAAAGTTCCTAAATCACCTTATCTAAAATGTAAATGAATATTACATTTCGGAAGTTGTATTTTGCACTTATAACAATGTTGGAAAGAGGAAGGGAACTTCTGGGTGCCAAGGTTTAATTTTCTAATGAACTACCTCTAGCCTCTCTCACTCCCTTCCATGCTATATTTAGCTGCTTATTGGATGCATCTTGCCACTTGCCTGCTGACAACCTTTGTTTCTCCCCACTACCTGAGAAATAGCACCCAGACTCCTTGGTCTGGAGACTGTTGAGGGCTTCCCTGATACATTTTCTTAGGTTTCTCTCCCTGACTTCTACTTTCCTAATAGACCCCTGGTTTTCCTTCCTTGTTACTTCTGCTCATTTGTTTGCTCTTGATGAGACTTTTCCCCACCTCCTATAACATAATCCATCCTTCAAGGTGAGGCATGTCCCTATTGTAATGTACCCCGTGAATCACAGAAGGACGCCTCAAGAAGTCGAATTAAAGAGTCACATCTATTGCAATCGGGACTATGAGGGGCCATTCTCCAAA